GGGGGTAATTTTCATGATACTCACCAATTATGTACCATGAGCTTTTGAACCGCGAGGAGAGCCTCGTATCTGACGTTAGGGTCCTCATGTCCGAGAAGCTGCATCACACGTTGTTTGCCGCCAAGTTATTCGATTATACTGAAACAAGACGCATGATTTTAATCAATCAGTACAGAAGTAAACGCTTTCCCTCGCATAGAGGGTATATTCAGCACTACAGCCGCCCACTAAGCGTTCAGTGAGCTTTCAGACTTTATTGATTTCTTTAGATCTNGGGGGTAATTTTCATGATACTCACCAATTATGTACCATGAGCTTTTGAACCGCGAGGAGAGCCTCGTATCTGACGTTAGGGTCCTCATGTCCGAGAAGCTGCATCACACGTTGTTTGCCGCCAAGTTATTCGATTATACTGAAACAAGACGCATGATTTTAATCAATCAGAACAGAAGTAAACGTTTTCCCTCGCATAGAGGGTATATTCAGCACTACAGCCGCCCACTAAGCGTTCAGTGAGCTTTCAGACTTTATTGATTTCTTTAGATCTTGATCAAATTCGAAAGTATATATTATATCAAAACCAGGGTTGGATAAACTAACTTCTTTTTTGAAGTTAGAAGTGGCGTATACATTAATTTAATGAAAAGTAACCTAAACAAAAATTAATTAAAATTAGAGTTAAAATTAACTTATTAAAATTAAATTTCAATTATGCAAAATAATATATATATATATATATATAGTCTCATAACAAACTCCTAACTTAAATTACTTTACCCCAATCCTGATCAAAACTAAATCTGAAAACCACCAAGCACTCAATAAATGGTTGTAATAAGGTAAAAGTACTAATGCGTGAACATCTAATTAAATACCTAACTGTGGACATTCTTGTTTTAGTCTTCAAATATAAATATTTAATCTTTAAATATAAAATACTTGCGTATATCTAATATATATATACATATATTCTATGTTAAAAGTTTAAATATTCGTATTTAAAGACCAAAAGAAAGAATATCCAGAGTTAGGTACAGATTCAGGCATTGGTACTTTTACTAAATGCTCGCAGAGATTAACGTACTGTTTGCCGCGTGGGTAATGGCGCACATATTCGCCTATGTCGAAACTAGCCACACTAAGGACGAGTGGGTCCTTGCTGGTGTCCAACAGATGGATAAGGATCCGCAGGAGCTCGTAGTTCTTCTCGTTGAGACGACTGGCGTTTTCGCGCCAGAATTTGCCGGACTTGTGAACGGGGGACCATTCCAGACGGCCGGACTTGACCTCCGTCGAGTACTCGTCGAACGAGCTCAGGTCTTGCACGGACGCCTGCAGCTTGTCGTTGAGGAACTCGATGTCGGCGGTGATGTCCTCGTCGTCGAATTTCCGTTGGCTCAAGATCGACAGCTGCTTCAGCACTTTACACTGCACCATGGCGATGCAGTGCTCTTTGGCGACCTGTCCGTCTTCAACTTTCTCGATCAAGTTCTGTCAATAGATGAAGAACGAGCAAATGAAATGATCCCGCCGTGT